GCTGACATTCAGGGCTGTAGAAGTCCTCTCTAGGTGCTGATCCACCATCTGGGCTGGATACAGACTGGATCCGGGTGACTGCAGTGACCATCTGATCTGGATACAGACTGGATCTGGTGGCTACGGTGATCTCGGAATAAGAGAGAAACAGACTAATATTAGCATAGATGCCATTCTTCTAACGATGTAGCAAGTACATCGGGTGTTATGGGACGTGTTCCCGGTTCCGGTTGTACTAATTAATGCAGCCTAAAAATCCTTTAACGGATTTGAATATTAGAAATGTGTTAGTGTGTTATGTGTAAGCCAGGTTAAAGAGATGGGTCTTTAATCTAGATTTAAACTGACAGAGTGTGTCTGCCTCCCGAACAATGTTAGGTAGATTATTCCATAACTCTTGGTGGAATCAGGGGATCCACATATGCAAGGCCGAACCGACAGAGGAAGAACAGCTTTCCTGGCCATGAAAATGAGAAGATGCACTAACTAACGAACTAGTGGCCACCACACTTAGAATGGGCTCAGGACCTCCAGGACTACTGGACTTGGGAATTCTGGGAGATCTTCCACCCCTATGAAGGGGATCCTCATAGGAACACCTATTTCACATATGCAGAAAAGTTACACCGAGAACCATCTATGGGCAGGTGTGCCTTGATCTGGTGCATTTTTCTATGCACATAGGGACTCATCCAATGCAACCTTGTGTATGGTCCTCGAGTGAGCGATTCCCCTGGGTGAGAAGAATTTGTATTGCTGCTAGACCCATTATTGGGTCGCTTATGCTGTAACGTTCAGGTAAGGAGTAGAGATAAATTGAGGCATGGATTGAAGTGCAGCAATTTATTAAACAAAAAACAGATGATCCAAGATTAAGACAAAAACGCCAATGTAACGTTCAAGATTAACCCGATGGAGTCTGTTCTTGTAACATCCGTCTAGGAACTCTTTTCAGATTAGGCAGAGTAAACTTCACATCAGTGGTATTCATTCAAGTGAAAAGGCTCTCTTTAAGCTCAGAAGATAATTTTAAAATTATGAGCCAATTAGCACATTTAATTTATAGTCTGCATTGCTATATGCACTTCTGGTTGGACGCTATTCATAGATTGTGTACTTGTTATAGTTAAATCTAGTCTAATAATCTGAAAAACAAAGATGTGATTGATTGATGGAACTAGAAAAAAAGCCTTTCACTAGCGACTACACTGAACTGTGACGTGGAAGTCCACTTATTTTTTTTAGAGATTGAAATGAACATAAGTTTGTAGGAGAGGCTTGGAAATTAGGTGACTTGAATGTAATGAGACAGGATTACTAAAAACATGTTAAAAAAATCATCTCAGGATTGTGTCACAACACCTCCAAATTACAATATAATGAATACACAGATATTTTTGAATGACTGCCAGTGGAGAAAAGCCATATATTAAAATAATTTGTGCTTGGGAATCCTGAGAAGTGCATGCGAACAGATAACATGGACCATTTCAGCAGAGAACACCCAACAGTATAGTTTTAGAAGAGTTCTTTACATGACCTTTATATGAGATCGTGGAGTCTCTAATTAAATCAGGGGTTATTTAGGGAGCTCCATGTTCAGCACAAAACAAACTCGGGCAACACTTTTGTATTTTAGGTTTTATACCTGTTAGCTTAATTACATGAGAACAGCTGTCCAGTCTGTTATGGAAAGTTCTGAAATATTGATCGATACATTATTTGTGGACAGACAAATGTCATATTAAATAGTTTTTCTTTGAGAATAACAGGCAAAAAGCAGACATTACAATCAAGTTATTAAAAGCTCAAACAAATCCTCAAAACATACAATAGACCCACACACTGCTAATACATTTAAAAAGAGATTCATGTTAGGTCTGTATACACATGGACATTCACAGCACAAGTCAAGTAGTTTACACTTTGAATAATCTTGAACGTTAGTTTAAAACAACGCTCATCAGTTACCAAAATCATAAGCATAATTTATGAAATTATTATTTTTTAAATTATAATCAGATAATCATAATAAAAAGAAACACACATCAACATAGCAAGGCAGTTAAAAAAAAACATGGGAATGTAGTCAAGGAAATATTCAGGTAAATGGGAATTTTTAATATTTCCACCTGTGTTATGTGAGCTTTGAAAAGAAAGTTCCTCATTTTGACCTTAGGTGCATTTCAAAAGTGCCCAAAAAAAACAAACAAGATGCTTCTAACAGACCCGAAGCTTATGACAATGCCACTGTAGCCTTTATTCACTTTATAAGGGTGACGGAATTCACTGGAAGAAACCAACACCCATATGACTCTGAAGCAGCGCTGTGGATGAACAGGTGTGTGAAGCGACTAGAAGAAGCTGGTCTTGAGTTTGATGGTGGGAGCCGCTTGTACAGTCGGCTGCTGCTGTCTCGCAGCGCTCTTGGCTTTACTGTTGGCTTGTCTGGATCTGATGGCCGCCTCGAGTCGGGTCTTGAGTTCTGGTGCCACCCCAATAACAGTCTTGAAGGCAGCAGGGTACAGAGGACCAGTGTGCATCAGGTTCTGGAGGGCAAACTCATGCAGGTCTTTAGAGGAGGTGGAGGCCGTGGAGAAGGTCGTATCATCCAACAGATATGAAACGAGGGTCGGGACCAGCAGAGCCAGTAACTGCACTCCTGTTTGAGACAGACCGGAAAGAAAGCTGGATCACAACTTAACATGAAGGTACACGATGTGAATGTTTTGTTGAGCATCACATCACATGTAGTATGATTTAGTGAGAACATGCAGCTCAAACTTAAAGTCACCATGAAATTAAGCCATTTCGCTCGGATATGCATCACAGTAGGGAAGAAAAGACTATCGCCACTTCTGTTTCATGTGACTTTGAGGAAAAACAGCTCAATTTTATTCAGAGACTCAAACGGAGCAAAAATATGAATTTGGTGCAAATGCTGATATTTCTGATGAAGAAATTCTGATGCTTGTAATGTAAATCAATGAGATCTTTAAAACACTACAGCAGATACTGACATAAAGTGATCTAAATATCAGTCGCCGCTCGATATCTCCAGTAATCTGTCTCAGTGAGATGAGATTGAAATGCTCCAAACATATAATGCAGTGATCGAGAGCTGAAGAAATAAAGGCTCCTCAGAAGATGTGAGATGTTCTGGAGGCTTGTGAAGATCATTCCTCCGCTGAGGAACAGTGAAAGTAAAGCTTCTGGAAACAAACGCTCCTCAAAAGATCCTGAGGATCAGATTTGAGACTCTAAAACATGATTGATGGAGAATCAAGTAAAGCTGAGCTGCTTCAGTCCAGTAAGTGTTCATCTGGAGATATTACTGCAGTTATTCTGACGCTTCCTTGATCAAAATCAGTCCAGATTCACAGCAGAAAGACACGAGAAGCTCCTGAAGCTGGACGCTTGTACAATTACACTAAAAAGTGTTTTAATCACTAAAAAGTCTAAACTATCAATCAGAGGACAGAAGACATGGAGGAGATTGAGTACGAAATATGTGAGCCTGCAGCACAAAAGCAGTGTTAAGTCGCTGGGGTATATTTGTAGCAATAGCCAACAATACACTGTATGGGTCAAAATTATAAATTTTTCTTTTATGCAAAAAATCATTAGGATTTAATTAAAGATATTTTGTAACTTTCCTACTGTAAATATATCAAAGCTTAATGTTTGATTAGTGATATGCATTGCTAAGAACTTCATTTGGACAACTTTAAAGATGATTTTCTCACTATTCAGATTTTTTTGCACCCTCAGATTCCAGATTTTCTAATAGTTGTATCTCACCCAAATATTGTCCTATCCTAACAAACCATACATCAATGGAAAGCTTATTTATTCTGCTTTCAGATGATGCATAAATCTCAATTTTAAAAAATTGACCCTTATGACTGGTTTTGTGCTCCAGGGTCACATATGATACAGTAGCTTCATAGGGTTAATTGGCAAAATCATTGGCCCAACAAAACGCTTACGGTTATGTTCCTCTCCCATGGCCACAAGGCTCTCCAACACCTTAACTCCTTCCTGTACGGCCTGTAGCTCAGCAGGTGTGGACGGTCGACTGTGCTCAACGGCCTTCAGCTTCTCCACCAGCACCGGAGCCAGCGAGTGAATGTAGGGAGTGGAGAGACTGCGACACGAGTGCTGGAAGACAGACAGCAGCAGCTGGTAACAGCGGGCCTGAGTCTGCAAAAACACACACAACAACAAGACATTACTCAGTGCTTTCATCAACACAACATCCTTCCTCAGACTTCATTCATCGACTCAGAATCTGCTACTCCTCAATGCATAAGCACTCTATAATTACTCATCCGGACACTGCATTAAACGGATTAAACCAGGAGAACAGACACCGTGACAGCAGAGTTTGTGTAGCTCACCCAGGGATCAGCAGAGTCGAGTCCGTGTCTGAAGCGCTCGATGCAGCCTGTCTGCAGGACAGAGACGCCCACCAGAGCACCACTGGCCGACAGCAGAAAGAGTGTGACAGCCGTCAGCAAACTGACCTCATCCACGTCGACTCCGCACATGTCTACAGGACAGAGAGAGTGTCAGAAACAGCCGAGCCGGTGATGCCAAACACAGACACATGCGGCGTCTCACCTGGCTGTGAGTGCTGGAGGACGGTGGCCAGACTGCTCCTGACCAGCGCGCTCCACTGCGTCTGGCTCCTGGCTGCCAGCGGAGAGCTGAGGATGGTTTTGATGGCCTGCAGAGATGCAGACACCGGCGCAGGGACAGAGTTATCTGACGTCTTTACCGCAGTGTCTCTCAGCACACCAGTGATCAGGAAGAGCACCGTGGGCAAGATGGTCATGCTTCCTACAGCAAGAAACATAACTAGATTTAGTTAAACTGGTTCATTTTACCATATAAAGTCTGCTGTATCATATCTGATACATGAAATTCTAGGGTCTCTAAATAATCAAACTTTGCTGTCGCACACAATCTCCTCCACTCCTTCTGTCCTCTGATTGAACATTTAGAGTTGTTTATCCAGTAAAAGCTCTTTTAGTGTAATTGTACAAGCGTCCAGCTTCAGGAGCTTCTCGTGTCTTTCTGCTGTGAATCTTGACTGATTTTGATCAAGTAAGCGTCAGAATAACTGCAGTAATATTCATACACCACCACCTACTCTTGCTGCTCCTGATGTGCTCCAGATGCTCCTGGGCTGCACGGATGGTTTTCTGCACGACAGTCGTCACCTGCAGCTGCACGCTGGGTGGGTCGCGTGTCAATAACAGCCGGTGAAGCACGTTGAGCAGCTCCACAGCCAGCAGCTGCCACACAAACGCTGCGATTAGAATGCTTTACTATTGCCTGCAGTAAAACGCATGATAAAGATGTTGAGTAACTGCTCTGACCTGGTCCTCTGCGATGTGCGTCCGAGCGCTCGGCGAGTCCAGCAGCGTGCAGAGAGCATGCAGACACGACATCACATCCTCGATGGGCTCCTCGGCCCGAGGGAAACACAGGAACTCGATGCTGATGCCTGAAACATTACGAGAGACATTACAGCCCTTTACATACTCCACAAGTCCAAATGAGTCACGTAGAGAAGGATTGTACCCAAAAGAAGGTGCAATCTGTCTTTCACTACGCCATCAGTGCTGTTCCCCGGAGCAGAGGCCACTACAGGTCCAGTGTCATCAGCCGAACCGAAGCCTGTGCTGCTGAGCCACAGGGCCTCCGCGTGCAGCACAGACGCCCAGGAGCTACGGTAATGAAGCCTCGCTGTGTCTATGGTCTCAGGAGTGTAGAAAGCCCCTCCTGATGAACACATTGTGAAGAGTAACTGCTGTTATTGGCGTCCACTGAGCAAGTACAACAATAAATTCAACTGGTCCTGGAATTCAACCTTTTTAAGACCTGCACAATTAAGATTAATACCATATGTCCATCCAGAACAAACACAATCTCAAATTAAATCATGCATCTCAGATTATTTTCCTAATTAAACAGGCTAGGGCACATATTCAGTGAGGACTTAATACTTCTCATCAGCAAAACTGCCAGTTTAAAACACTCAAAATGTTTTATTCAATATGTACTGAAATGGTTTCATGTATCAAAATTGGAGTAACACTTTATTTTAAGGTGTCCTTGTTACTCATGTTACATATACTTACTATTATAATGACAATCAATTATGCATAATTACATGCAAGTAACCCTAAACCAAACCATATAGTAAGTACATGTAGTTAATTAATATTACTCAGTACTTAAATGTATTATTACACTGTAACGAGGACACCTTGAAGTGTAACCAAAATTTGACTACAAAGGAATTAGAGGTCGAGCGGAGGTGTTTCATGTGCTTCAAGAAAGGCAATAAACATTATTTTGCCGATACTAATAAAAATCTAAATACTGAACACTTCAAAATAATGTCTTTAGTCTTTTTCTCCCTTTTAAGTATACAGAAGCTCAAAACACACCGGGACTCTTATTTTGAAATGTCTGTGTTACTACTTCAGCTGATCATTCAAAAAGATGAAGGAGATAAAATATGCATTCTTACAATAGAGACACCATAAAATAAACATTGTCATAATCCAACAACAACAACAGTAGATCATAAGCAATCGCTTGGCATAAATGTGACCCTGCAGCACAAAAGCAGTCTTAAGTCGCTGGGGTATATTTTTAGTAATAGCCGACTGATTGTGAACTGCTCTGAAACTGTGAGCCTGTAAAACCAGAAACAGTGCCGCATTTTGACTTTTGAAGCATGCAGCGCTCACTCATTCAATTATATAATGAAGTCTTTTGTTGTACCATAATGACTTTAAATTTGATCAAAATTAATATAAGACATCTGAAGGGTTTTTAAGGGCCTGCGGGGACCCTGGGCTTGACTTTACCTTCAGGCGGCAGCTGACTGGAGAACTCAGCCGGCAGAGTGAGCAGCGCATAGTCTCTCAACACCGCTAGCCACAGACGGCTGAGAGACGGCAGCTCCGGCTGAACTAACGTCATCAGGCTGTCTGGAGGAAGAACGTCTCCTTCATCTCCCTCATCCTCATCCTCACCCTGAGGAGGACGCGCCGGCTTGGACTGAGACTCCTTCTTTATGTTCATAGCCACGACGAACACCTAAAACCAGAGACGGTAAGTAATGCTGATAATAAACATTGGTAGAATCACGGTTCTTGGTAAACGTAGCTGCTGAAGGGGAACAGCTGTAAGCGTTTGACTCGCCTCGGCCCAAGCTTTCAGCACAGCGAGCTTCTCCATAGTAGTGGCGCTCTCACTGTACAGCTGGCTGGATGGGCTCTTGCCAGTCTGGACTTTGTCCAGAGAGGAGACCAAGAGGTTGTGGACGCGCCGCAGGTCATTGAGGTCACTGACAACACCGCTGCCTATCCATGTGCTGCACACCTGTACACCAATATCACTGTCAAACACTGAAGAACGCACTGAAGAAGAGGGATTTTTTTACATTTAAAGGTTAATCACAACTAACAGACATCACCATACTTTCACCAGTTGATTAATCACAGCACATCAAGACATGCTTTGTATTACAAGATGTTAGGTTTAAATATGTAATTGAGGCATTATCGAATTTAATATGCACTCATTTGCATGAACGTCCAGAACAAATGTGATCATTGGATAAAGTCAGGTTCACAATTCCTCATATTTTGGGCTTTTCCGGAGGGGATTTTGGATTTCTATTTTTATCATTCCATAAATCCGAAATTACTGTCAACAGCCAGAACACCACATTAGCGCTGTCAAATTTTTTTTTTGAATTTCGAATATTCGTCGAATTTCAAATAAAAATCCACATTCAAAAGCAAAAACAGTGCATTCGAATTTTAGTTGATGTTAGTTTCGAGATGCGATGACGATGTAAGTGTTGTTGCATTATAATGTTTTTGTTAACCTGTTCAGTTGAAGCCACTAGATGCGGCGCTGCTGCGTTAAGGTTGCATTGAGAAAATCAATGCGGAGAAGATCTCGTTTACGTCAAAACTGAAACCAAGCCGTTCACACAGAACACATATTTCACGCATTTTCTAGAAAGACATTTATGTCTCGCACAAAAGAGCTGCATGTTTAGAAAGCCATGTAAAATGAATGCAAGTTCAACTTTGAAAAAACATATCTCGAGACGTTATAGCAGGTTTTTCCCCATCCGACTCGTGTTTTTAAATGAAAAATGTATTCTGTGATTGGCTTTCGGCCCTTTGTATTAAACTAAACAAAACTGCATCATGTATGTATGCATATAGTTGTTTAAGCAACTTAATTAATTATAATTGGTTTATAAACATTATTTTAAACATTATGCACTTTTTTTCACAGATAGTCATGTTATCTTATGCTTTGAATAAATGTGCATTAGTAATATTTTGCTCGATGCGCCCTCTTGTGGCCTCTGGAGAGAAGCCAAAAACTTTTCTTCATCCTAGCTGAAATTATGCCTTTTAAATTCGAATATAATTCGAATTTTGATCATATTCAAGTACAAAATTCGAATTTAGTTTTTCAGCCATTTTGACAGCCCTACAACACATACAGTATTTCATCATGTTTTTAGGAATAAAATGACATATGAACAAATCCCTCTCTAAAAACCTTCAGAATACAGATTAATAATAAAAAAAAAATATTGGAATAAAACTGTAAAGTTTGGTGTATATAAGTGCTGCTGAAATAGAGATTTCTGACACATGAAAAAAAAACAATAAGTACAATAAAATAAATACTTAAATGCATATTTTGGACGTTTTCTTTCCACTAGTTGAAAAGAAGACATGTTATGGCCTCCATCCTTAGAAGTTTTTAAGTCTCAGTAGAAAACTCATCTTTTTACATTAGCTTTCGTAGAGGAACAACCCCGATGTGTAATGACCAGATAAAGGGTATTTGTCATCTGTGGGTTGGTTCATTAAGTGGGTTATTCTTACCAATTATGTTAGATTTTATTGTTTTTAATCTTTGTATATGCTTTCTTTTAAATTGTGAAGCACTTTGGGCAAAAAATTGCGTTAAAATGTGCTATACAAATAAATAAAAGTTGAAAAAAATAAAAGATGGAAGCAAAATCTCAAAATTGACCATGCAGACACTGGGGTGATACCCTTTCAAAAGGTACTAATATTAGGTATTCATATGTACCGTATAGAGGTAAATTAGATAATAACCTACAAACCTTAGGGTACCGCCCCAGTGACACCTTTTTTCTGAGAGTGTTGGGTTGAACTTTGACTAGCTGAATCAAGGCTAGGTTGTGGTGTAGTCTAAAGATGGGCTGGACATTTACCTGGCAGGCTTTGGCAGTAAATGTGCATTAGTAATATTTTGCTCGATGCGCCCTCTTGTGGCCTCTGGAGAGAAGCCAAAAACTTTTCTTCATCCTAGCTGAAATTATGCCTTTTAAATTCGAATATAATTCGAATTTTGATCATATTCAAGTACAAAATTCGAATTTAGTTTTTCAGCCATTTTGACAGCCCTACAACACATACAGTATTTCATCATGTTTTTAGGAATAAAATGACATATGAACAAATCCCTCTCTAAAAACCTTCAGAATACAGATTAATAATAAAAAAAAAATATTGGAATAAAACTGTAAAGTTTGGTGTATATAAGTGCTGCTGAAATAGAGATTTCTGACACATGAAAAAAAAACAATAAGTACAATAAAATAAATACTTAAATGCATATTTTGGACGTTTTCTTTCCACTAGTTGAAAAGAAGACATGTTATGGCCTCCATCCTTAGAAGTTTTTAAGTCTCAGTAGAAAACTCATCTTTTTACATTAGCTTTCGTAGAGGAACAACCCCGATGTGTAATGACCAGATAAAGGGTATTTGTCATCTGTGGGTTGGTTCATTAAGTGGGTTATTCTTACCAATTATGTTAGATTTTATTGTTTTTAATCTTTGTATATGCTTTCTTTTAAATTGTGAAGCACTTTGGGCAAAAAATTGCGTTAAAATGTGCTATACAAATAAATAAAAGTTGAAAAAAATAAAAGATGGAAGCAAAATCTCAAAATTGACCATGCAGTCACTGGGGTGATACCCTTTCAAAAGGTACTAATATTAGGTATTCATATGTACCGTATAGAGGTAAATTAGATAATAACCTACAAACCTTAGGGTACCGCCCCAGTGACACCTTTTTTCTGAGAGTGTTGGGTTGAACTTGGACTAGCTGAATCAAGGCTAGGTTGTGGTGTAGTCTAAAGATGGGCTGGACGTTTACCTGACAGGCTTTGGCAGTGATGTCTGACGGTGTATCTGGGGAAAAGGCTGGTCGGAGTGCAGCACCAACCTGTGGTAAGAAAATTAGAGGAATTCATTAATGTCAGCATGAAATGACAATTCACCCCATCTATTTTCTAGATGCATGTTATAGATCTTATTGTGAACATTCATCCATGCATGCGTCACTTTTTAAAAATACTTTTTGAGTTTGTAATGTCTATTCAAAATGTCCCAACAGGACCGTCCGGTGAAAACAACAGACTTCTCTCGGATGATGTATGCAGGACGTATCCAGTCACTTGTGCCCTCACGTTCCTTTGCCTACACTTTGAGTGTTTTTTCTTTATCGATAATCTAGATGCACATCATATGCAAGAATCTGTCAATACTTCTTTCATTGCAACTTTAAAATGTGTATACAATGTAAGACAAGGAAATAATACCAAATAAAACCATCAAAAGTACATGGGTCCTCTTATTATTTTATTTTAATAATAAAAAAAAAATATTGGAATAAAACTGTAAAGTTTGGTGTATATAAGTGCTGCTGAAATGGAGATTTCTGACACATGAAAAAAAAACAATAAGTACAATAAAATAAATACTTAAATGCATATTTTGGACGTTTTCTTTCCACTAGTTGGAAAGAAGACATGTTATGGCCTCCATCCTTAGAAGTTTTTAAGTCTCAGTAGAAAACTCATCTTTTTACATTAGCTTTCGTAGAGGAACAACCCCGATGTGTAATGACCAGATAAAGGGTATTTGTCATCTGTGGGTTGGTTCATGAAGTGGGTTATTCTTACCAATTTTGTTAGATTTTATTGTTTTTAATCTTTGTATATGCTTTCTTTTAAATTGTGAAGCACTTTGGGCAAAAAATTGCGTTAAAATGTGCTATACAAATAAATAAAAGTTGAAAAAAATAAAAGATGGAAGCAAAATCTCAAAATTGACCATGCAGTCACTGGGGTGATACTCTTTCAAAAGGTACTAATATTAGGTATTCATATGTACCGTATAGAGGTAAATTAGGTAATAACCTACAAACCTTAGGGTACCGCCCCAGTGACACCTTTTTTCTGAGAGTGTTGGGTTGAACTTTGACTAGCTGAATCAAGGCTAGGTTGTGGTGTAGTCTAAAGATGGGCTGGACATTTACCTGGCAGGCTTTGGCAGTGATGTCTGACGGTGTATCTGGGGAAAAGGCTGGTCGGAGTGCAGCACCAACCTGTGGTAAGAAAATTAGAGGAATTCATTAATGTCAGCATGAAATGACAATTCACCCCATCTATTTTCTAGATGCATGTTATAGATCTTATTGTGAACATTCATCTATGCATGCGTCACTTTTTAAAAATACTTTTTGAGTTTGTAATGTCTATTCAAAATGTCCCAACAGGACCGTCCGGTGAAAACAACAGACTTCTCTCGGATGACGTATGCAGGACGTATCCAGTCACTTGTGCCCTCACGTTCCTTTGCCTACACTTTGAGTGATTTTTCTTTATCGATAATCTAGATGCACATCATATGCAAGAATCTGAATTTGCAGGCGACACAATGACACTATGGACACGCTCCGTCTCACTAGTTACAATTGCTTATTTCTCTGGATTTAAACATTCCTCGAAACATTTGGGATAAAGTACACAAGTCAGCAAAATATATAACACGGTTCTAGTGGTTTTTGGATATTTTAATAAAAAATTACATATTGTGCCTTTAAGTGTCCTTAAATGAAGCTCTTAGCAATGCATATTACTAATCAAAAATTAAGTTTTGATATATTTACGGTAGGAAATTTACAAAATATCTTCATGGAACATGATCTTTACTTAATATCCTAATGATTTTTGGCATAAAAGAAAAATCGATCATTTTGACCCATACAATGTATTTTTGGCTATTGCTACAAATATACCCCAGCGACTTAACACTGCTTTTGTGCTCCAGGGTCACAAATTGAACGGAATCAATAAATTAGTGGCATTCACAACACTAGGCACACACTGAGAAACTGACATTAGCCTGGTACTGCTCCAGTATCACATGACCAGGGAACTCGGGCTCCGGCACAGCGGCGAACTTCTTAATGATGTCCTCGAGCGCCTGCAGACCAGCCATGCGCAGCTGGTTACTGTGGTCTGTGGCAGCCATGAAGGCCATGCGAATCAGATCGCACAAGTGCAGCACCAGGAAGTCACCTGCAGAAGACACCACAAATGTATTCATGCCCTAAATCACTTCGACTCAAGTCAAGCGGAGCTAAATCATACTTTATACTTTAAATGTGCCTTGTTAAGTTCAACCAAAAACCAAAAATCCTAAAACTAAAATGAATGCCATCCCTCCACAACTACTGTGCATCAAGAGTCACAGAGGTGTACCTTCAGGGTTTTTAGCCTTGTTGACACGCGCAGCGGCCAGGTCAAAGTGGGCCTTGTCTGCATTCTCACACAGATGAATGATACGGCACAGACAGTCGGCAGCAAACACTCGTGTAACCCAGCGAGGCGCCACGGACGGCTTGGACTTGTCATCCTGACCCAGAGATGTGAACATTATGTCATCATCCATCTCATCCTTCTTCTCAGAGTCCTCCTCCTCATCCTTCCTTCTGCCAACAGACGCAACCGTCCCACCGACCTCTGCGGCAGAAGCAAAGAAGGAACAAGGTGGAATGAGAAAATCCTGCAGATTACTGTTAAAAGGACACAGTTTCTAACACCCAAATGATCAGTACCTAATTTCAGGGTGTGTCTGGCATCAGTATCAACACAGCCCTCCGGCGGCAAATAAAAGGTTTTGTCCTGTATGATTCAAATGTATGGTATTCTTTCAAAAGTATCACAAACTAACAAAGATACAGCCTGAGCCAACACAATAAAACGATGGTAGCATTTTATTATACAGTCCTGTTGGTATGTACATACTATGCACTTACTATATTACAATAACTGGGTAATGACTAGGTACTAACCTTGAACCTAACCTTAACATATGTTCCAAGTTTATGCAGTTATCTTAGATTACTCAGTCTTTTCTTGTGTAAGTACTAGGGGTGTGCAATATTGACAAAAAATCTGGATATTTATTTTGTTTAGTGCTGATTTATGCCTGTCTAACTCCCAAATATTTTCATATTCTGTGCAGCGGTCAGTGACAGAAGTGAACTTTTTCCACTACAAGGCAATTTTAAATTTATACGGCCATTTTCTATAACCTTGATGAATGCATCACCTCTTACATCAGATTCTTACATTTAATCAATAAATCTATCAAACGTATTGTTTTTGCAAAGCGAGTGACGTACTCAATGTCAGCTCGCACATTGTTAAAACAATAATTAAGATATTATTGTCATATCGCTCACACATAGTAAACAGACTCTACATGCACATGCTGTGCAATAAAGTGCAACCATGATAATGATCATTATTATTAATGATGTTTTGTGTGTACATGAGTCACATGGCTCAGATTGTTCTTTAAGTGGTTTGTTACAGGATGCTAGGTCAAAATTACAAGAAAAGTTCAGAACATTGACTGCTACTACAGTGAAGAAGTGGGCTTGATTTAGTGAAAACCAGTCAAAAGATTTAGGTTAAGTAGTCCAAAAGGAATCTGGATAAATGCATGAGGATGCTTTATTCAGTCCTTATGGCCGCAGTTTCAGACAATTTCTTGCTATCCTACACTGTAAATATTGCATTTTTCAAATGAGTTTACAGTCAAAACCTGGTTGTACTGGTTTATTTCATTCTAGTCAAAAAGCACTATGACCTATGAAGCACTATGGCCAGTGAACGGCTGTTACCTGTAGTAGCTGCCAGAACATCTTTGCAGAGCTTGAGCCAGTGAGGAAGTTTCTCCACAGCCAGAGACGAGAGCATGTGACCTAACGTGTCATGAATGTCCGAGCACAACTTCCGGTCCGTCTCCCGGTCCAGCATTCCAAACAGAACACCTTCCAAACCCGTCTCGGTGATGTTCAGATCTGCAAAATTATAAATGGCCAAATAGAACCAAATAAATCAGTCTGGTTCTTCCTATCACACTGTTTCAGGAGGCTAGGATTGGAAGGCAAACGGTGTGCGTGCATAAACATTACGAGGACCGTTACGCACTGATGCTGGTGCTGTCTTTGCCGTCTCCAGCCTTCCTGGCGAGACTCATGGCGTATTCACAGACCTCTGCAGCCTCGCGCTGAGCCAGCTGCCGGAGACATGCCACCGCGGCCCGCCGTAACAGCAGGTGAGAGCTGCACAGATGCACCTGTGCACATGCAAACACACATCACCTACTACCAGACTCGCCTGTGGGAAATCTGCTTGAACTATTTAACTGCATGTGCTCTGCATATATTCACAGTTGCCTATTTATGATTATACGGGGGTGAGCCGAGAAAGCCTTACACAGAGGCTGGGCACCAGGCTGGACAGGTTGACGTGTCGCGGTGCAAACATGTGCAGCTGCTGCAGGCAGGAGATCGCCGCCGCCTGGACCAGAGAGTCTGAGTGATCCTGCATGATAGCACAGCCCACCAGACATGACGAGCGGATCGTAGAGATGCTGACGCTGTTCCCTAGGATAAACAAACCAGGAGAAATAATACAAATACACAACTGAACATTTTCTGTTCACCTACACCGAGACAACTGACAGGGCTGGGAATGCATGAGTGATAATGTTCCCAAACACTTTGTAATTATCTTTAAGTAGCTTTAAACACTTCCTCTGGTTATGGAAAACCTCACTAACTTCCCAGAGTGCCTTGCCAGTTTGAATCATTCAATTGCAATAAGACTGTCAAATGCTGTCTAACGGACCGTTTCTGTGCAGTTTGCGTTTACTTTAATTACCTACTATTGTCTTGAATAATCAGTTGAGAAATTTTTACTTCCATTGGTTAGGCTAGTATTGGTTTTTTGTATTTAAATTGGTGTTGACAGTTGTGAAATTCCACTGGAATCTAAAATGTTGGCATTGTAACAACCTTATTTCCAGCAAAAATAACTATATTGTGATATATTACTCATTACTCATACCCTGGACCGCAAAACCAGTCTTAAGTGTCCATTTTTCGAAATTGAGATTTATACATCATCTGAAAGAGGAAAAAATAAGCGTTCCATTGATGTATGGTTTGTTAGGATAGGACAATATTTGTTTTTTTGTATTTAAATTGGTGTTGACAGTTGTGAAATTCCACTGGAATCTAAAATGTTGGCATTGTAACACATGTGATATATTACTCATTACTCATATCCTGGACCGCAAAACCAGTCTTAAGTGTCCATTTTTCGAAATTGAGATTTATACATCATCTGAAAGAGGAAAAAATAAGCGTTCCATTGATGTATGGTTTGTTAGGATAGGACAATATTTGGCTGAGATACAACTATTTGAAAATCTGGAATCTGAGGGTGCAATAAAATCTAAATATTGAGAAAATCACCTTTAAAGTTGTCCAAATGAAGTTCTTTGCAATGCATATTACTAATCAAAAACTATGTTTTAATATATTTACGGTAGGAAATTTACAAAATATCTTCATGGAACATGATCTTTACTTAATATCCTAATGATTTTTGGCATAAAAGAAAAATCAATAATGTTGACCCATATAATGCATTTTTGGCTATTGCTACAAATATACCCCAGCGACTTAACACTGCTTTTGTGCTCCAGGGTCACTTATGTTGATACAGAATTTTGGTATCGCCCACTCCTATTAAAAGCAATCAAATAGAGGTCTGCACAAAGGGTTAGCTTAATTACACAACTGACATGTGCATCATTTTTGACTTTTTGCTTTCCGGTTTTTACACAAATCCTCACACTCTCAACTTGATTCAGATCGCATATTTACATGCAGATATCATCATATCATCTGAAAAACTATTCTAAACAATTGTTAGGCTTTATGGTTGGGATGGGGGGAAAAAATTAAGAAAACCAATTCAAAATGATGCACAGGTTGCAAACTAACTTCTTTTGATAACTGATTCACCCAGTGATTATTTCTTTGATTAATCAATTCATCACATTAGCCATAATATTATTCCACATTTTACTAACAAAGCACGTTTTTCCGAACTGTCCCGATGTTTTTCTTTACGTAATGTGCAGATAATGTTCATTATGCATAATATACAGTGTTCACTACAGGATTTTGTGAATGCATCAATCTGGTGCACTGACAAACACAAGCTGATCGAGTGGCCAAAGTGTGCGCTTTGCTGTGAAACATGCAGCGTAACAAACTAGAGGTTTATTTAATGAAATAAAAGCCTTTTGTGATTTGATAAGCGCACATCTCACAATTTCAATTTTAGTTTGATTGACAGATGCTTTACCAAAACAATGTTTCAATCACAAATGCTATAATTGTATTTTGTTGGTAACTGTCTGGTACCCTGTAGTTCTGGGCCCACGGTGGTGATGAGCGCTCCGAGACAGCGGCCCAGACACTGATGCACCTCTGTGTGTGAGGGGGGGACCGTCAGGAGCAGCGTCAGCACCAGAGACAGCGTGGGCTCCACATAACCGCGGTACATGGGCCCGCTGGAGTCCACGATGAGAGCCAGAGAGTGCAGCGCCCACGTCTGAAACAACCAGACAGACTCATGACACATCTGATTTCACCAGCGGCAGAGCTCTCTTCAAACACCTGCTGCGGTCTCAGAGCTCACCTGGACCTCGTGACACGTGGCGTCTTGAGCCAGGGCCAGCAGGATGCTAACACTGGTCTTGAGGTGCTGGCCCGACCCAATGCCGCCCACATAACGGTGCAGGCAGCCTAAAGCCAGAGAGTGACCCGTCCTGGACACCACGTCACGCGCCGACTTCAGCCTGGACAGAAGACGCAAGACAGAAAAACTCAAACCCCAAGACAAACGTGAGGAAACAGCCAGAGGTCCCACAACATCCATGACACGCTTGTTGTAACGGGTGGACAAATCAGTCACAATATTATTTGTTATATTTATCAAATAATCCAACAGACCCCTCACCTAACAACCGGACTGGGTGCCGGGATGTCTGTGAACGACCCCCCAGGCCACTGGTTACCATAGCAGCCAGGACATGTTACAAGATAAGGCTGGCTTCATGGCCCAATGGAATTCAGTTCACTCCACAAGAAGTCGAAACAGACACATACTGCCCCAGTGTTTCCCACAGACTCTATGTGTGGCGGCACTTCCCCCGGGGGAAACAGGCTATATATGAAACAGCAGACAGGCTGACTGATTGAAAATGCAAATTAATTATCTGCCAGCAGGAGGCGCTTTAGGAGTGGCAGAAATAGCGGTTTCCCCAGTAACGGCTGTAATCAAAGCAGCGCTCCGCTCATAAACGCTACTTTAACAGGCATTATTGGAAAGATTAAATGAAAATGACCGACACTTTTCTAAAGACAGTCAGTTCCTTTCAAACATACATTCATATAAAAAACCCCGCGCCTGCAGTGCTCATGTTTATTCAACGAAGTCAAAGCCTTTTGGAAAATCAATTTGTGGCGGTCAGTTTTGATATTGTGGTGGGTCGCCACAAATAAATCAATGTACGGGAAACATTGCATACTGCCCACAGGAAAAGACGTCTTTCATTAATTCAAAGCAAAACCTTTCTATGAATGAACATGCATATCCCCAGGTTATTGTTTGTATTATTACTGTTCTTGTATGGTCTACTGTTTTATGCATGCTTTATGGTAGAATCACTATTAATATAACCTCACCTATAGCATGTTTGGTATCTACGAATTTGTATTTTGATCTAAATGAGAGTGTATATTATATGTTGATACTTATACAACATATTAGTGTTCTAAGAATCTTTAATAGTTTTTGCATCAGCACCCAATCCATATGCAAATTACCATGTTCGAAGACAAAGAGTCATAAACTTTCCCCCCAAAAGTGTGAGTCACTATTGGCTCACCGACCCCCTGGAGGTGTGACCTCCACAGAAGTTAAAAGGCCTCGCATCTGTGACCCGCCTCTTCTTCTGCACTGCTCTTACTCTTTGCCTCTCAGACATTCAGTCCGACAGCGACACCATGGGACCTCCCCCGTGCCGGCAGGTGATTGTGTGTTTGTTTGTTTAGACTAGTTATGTGTTAGTGTTTAGTTAATAAAACTTCTGTGCACAAATTACATGAGTTTCTGAATCCGTCACTGCTTGCAGATCAATGTCACTTGAATGATTCCTGATTTTGTTAAATGCTCTAATGCAATAATACTGTGAGAAAGTTATTTTCTGTGGCCACGATAACAATCTTTCTTAGAGTTGATATAAAAATTACACTGAATGTTCGCCGGACGAACAGATTAGTTGATTGCAATATTAATTCTGCTACAGGTACTACTGGCAGCTGAGGTAAATAACTGCAATTCATTTGAATTAATTGTAATATTTATATACATTTCCCTTTTGAGCTAATTCGCTACACAGTCAATTGGAAGGGTTAGAAACGGAGACCCAGGCCTTATTCAGAGCCGGTGATTTTCTTGGTTCAGTTCAATTAATGGTTTTTGAATGTTTGCATTCTGCTTCTAGCCAATATACTGTACAACACAAGAAATGCTGTTAAATGTGATGGGAAAGACTGGGTGCAAGACACGTTCTAGCATTCAGCTTGAGTGCAGAGCTGTCACACTGCCATCGCCGCTGCGTACTTGTCAAAGCTGTGCTGTGCCATCCTGGCGATGAAAGAAGCTTCTCCCACGACTTGAGCCATTCTACCCAGAGCCTCTCCAGCAGCGCAGCGCAGGATGGGGTTGGGGTTGTCCAGCGCGCCCATCACCAGCGCTAGAGCTGATTTACGCACCTCCTCCGGGCCGAGACTGCTCTTGTTCTCAGCCAGACCCTGTACTCACACAGAAGCCAATGAACAATCAACATTATCAATATTCTGTTATAGGTTGATGAACTGCACAAGTAGATACTCCAGTCGGGATAGGACACCTTGAGAGCGCTCAGCACCGCAGTGAATATGTTCAACTGCACGGCCTGCTGACGGACGCCTTTAGCTTGTTTAATGCATTCAGCAAAGTGATCCAGCATTTGCAACCTGGAACAGACAAACAAGACATGAAACAAATCACAGATAATGCTCTGAAACGAGATGAATGGCTAATGCTATGAACCCGTCTGACAACGTAAGTTTATCTTCACGGAGGCAACAAGCACATCCACTAGTTGGTAAGATTTCTGAATGTTGTTGAAAGAAGTCTCTTCTGCTCACCGAGGCTGCATTTATTTGATTAAAAAAAACAAACAGTAAAAAAATTTTAAATTTAAAATTTGTGTTTTCTATGAATATAAAGTTTATTGCTATGATCAAAGCTGAATTTTCAGCATCATTACTCACATGATCCTTCAGAAATCATTCTAATATGCTGATTTGCTGCTCAAGAAAAATTTCTGATTATTATCAATGTTGAAAACACAACGAATGCACAATATTTTAGTGGAAACCATGATTCATTTTGTTTTCTCACTTAAGTTCAATAGAACAGCATTTATTTGGAACAGAAATCTGTTGTAACATTATAAATGTCTTTCCTGAAATTTTCTGAGATCAGTTCAGTGAATCCTTGCTAAATAAAAGTATCTTTTATATGGTAGTGTATTTGATTTTTTTTATGTACAGATGGACTTTGGACCGATACAATCTCACTATCGTCTGTGACCCCAAACAGCATCAAATACAGAAAGCGGAGAAAGGCCAACACAATGCTGACTGAAAGCACCTGTGTTTGAAAGAGACGTGAGGAAAGACGACTCCGAACAGAGCGACCGAGGCGTCGATCACAGACACCCCGAGGGGCAGCGGTCCGGGCACGGCCTCCACCGCAGGGACGCGCAGGTAGATGGAGGACGGGTCGTGTTCGAGAGCGCCGCTGCCTGACGCGCTGTTGGGCTGCAGCTGCGGCACACAAACACATCACTATAAGGGATGCACGATATTATCAGAATGTTTTATTTAGGGGGCGCTGTTGACCTACTTGTAATAAAATGAAAGTAAAATACACAAATAACATTAAGATACTTGTGTTCGTTTTGAATTAAAGGTCAGAAGCTATAGCTTACATGAATAAAAATCACAAACAAGACACTAGTAAATTAAATAATTTAGGTTTCAATTGCATCTATCTAAAAAAAACAAAAAAACAGCAGAGATTGATTGTATTATTGTTGTTATTTTCAAAGCTTTCAGCATACTCTCATTAAAAAAAAAGAACTCAAAACTAACCAAAGTTAAAGAATAATGTGTTTATAAATTTCTGCACAGGAGAGCCTTGGTGTTGTTTAAAAAACAAAAGGAAATACATTTGTGACCCTGGACCACAAAACCAGTCATAAGTGTAAATTTTTCCGAAATTGAGATTTATACATCAACTGAAAGCTGAATAAATAATCTTTCCATTGATGTGTGGTTTGTTAGGATAGGACAATATTTGGCCGAGATGAATTTTGACCCATACAATGTATTGTTGGCTATTGCTACAAATATACCCCAGTGACTTAACACTGCTTTTGTGCTGCAGGGTCACATATCGGCTATAAGCCAAAATTATTTTTAAAATATCGGCATATTGGATATTGGCAAAAATCTAATATCATGCATCCCTAGTGTGGCTGTTTTTAATAATGTCAGGCTAAATTATGCTGAAGTCATGCTTGAACTCAAAACTAACCAAAGTTAAAGAATAATGTGTTTATAAATTTCTGCACAGGAGAGCCTTGGTGTTGATTAAAAAACAAAAGGAAATACATTTGTGACCCTGGACCACAAAACCAGTCATAAGTGTAAATTTTTCCGAAATTGAGATTTATACATCATCTGAAAGCTGAATAAATAATCTTTCCATTGATGTGTGGTTTGTTAGGATAGGACAATATTTGGCCGAGATGAATTTTGACCCATACAATGTATTGTTGGCTATTGCTACAAATATACCCCAGTGACTTAACACTGCTTTTGTGCTGCAGGGTCACATATCGGCTATAAGCCAAAATTATTTTTAAAATATCGGCATATTGGATATTGGCAAAAATCTAATATCATGCATCCCTACTGTGGCCGTTTTTAATAATGTCAGGCTAAATTATGCTGAAGTCATGCTTAAAGGAAAGCTGCAGAGAATTACTTATGCTAAACACAGAGGTTTTTTATAATGCACAATATAAAACGCACAGCTGTCATTCACTCATGAAAGGACCTTTTCTGCGCATCTTTAAAGTAATTACCTGATCTTCGATGGACTTATGATCGGTCTCCTGAAGCCACGAGCCGGCTATAAGCCAAAATTATTTTTAAAATATCGGCATATTGGATATTGGCAAAAATCTAATATCATGCATCCCTAGTGTGGCTGTTTTTAATAATGTCAGGCTAAATTATGCTGAAGTCATGCTTAAAGGAAAGCTGCAGAGAATTACTTATGCTAAACACAGAGGTTTTTTATAATGCACAATATAAAACGCACAGCTGTCATTCACTCATGAAAGGACCTTTTCTGCGCATCTTTAAAGTAATTACCTGATCTTCGATGGACTTATGATCGGTCTCCTGAAGCCACGAGCCCATCAGCACGCTGTCGTCGTAATGACAGAGCGAGCGCAGCAGAGATGTGGTGGTGTTGGCCGAGTTATCTGTGAGCGTGAACTCTGCCACCAGCTCCCTCAGAAGAGCGTTAAAACTGCCTGTCAACCGTCAGAAAACCAGAACTCATGATCAGCTCTCACGTCATCAGTGCTGACAGCAGCAGAGCAGGTGTTTGTGAAGGACTTGCCTTCGTATGTCTTGGGCGGCAGCAGGGCCAGTATGTCGTAGAGCCGCAGTCGGACCATGGCAGCGCTGGCCTTCAGATGAGCTCCATGAACCTTGATCACTGCAGGAACACTGCACACCAAAATATCACGTCACTACACAAAAGACAGACCTCTGGAAAACGGAATGCGTTTTGTGCATTTTATCAGAAGTGTGTGAAAAGACAAAAACACAACCTACCTCTAACACAGCAGAACATGAGATCATTTTGGTTTTAAAGATACAGGTTTATATTATTGTGCAAAGACTGCAAAGGCCGACTTTTAAAAATCAGTTTTGAACATAACACAGCACGCTCTATCCAGGCATTATGAATGGGCCATTTCCACCATGGAATAAAAACAATACATGACAAAAAAATGTGAGTTTATGAGTTCTGAGTTTATATATTGTAATTTTGAATCTATAAAAAGAACTGTGAATATTTTTATTCTCTCAGAATTGTGAATTCTCAGAATCTGGGCCTGTTGGCCTGCCTAATTTCAAAAGGGTCTGTCTGGATCAAGAAATTAATTTTGTGAACCAAGTATTTGTTTTGTGAGTGCATTGATTGAATACGAAACGGAACATACCAAGACATTTATTGAATGCAATATCCATTTTGTGTAAACTGATTAAAAAAAAAGTTTTGAATTGTGAGATACAAAAAAAAAATTATTGGAATTGCAAAAAAATAAAGTCAGAACTGTGTTAATTTATAACATTGTGTTATAAGTCTTTTAAACCAAAAACTCAGTGATACAGTAAAATAGACCAGTTTTAAACTGATGAATAAACACAGTGTCTAAACAAGGTTCAGTGCAAGTAACACAATTCACCGGTTTCATAACATGCTCAAACATGTCATCAAATGACTACAAACACAGATGCTTTGGATCAGTTTCATAATTAAATGAGTATGACAAGCCAAATAAAAGGTGACATCACTGTAAATAGATCGGATCAGTTGCTTTTTAGTTTGAGTCACCTGACGAAAACAGGAGGATATCATGCACCAAGCACTTCTCAGGCCCAATCATTTCAACAGAAACAGTGCATAAATACAGTGTAGTGTCACACTCACTGAGACATCATGGTCATGGCGCACTCGATGGGCGTCATCAGCCTGCGGATCACGTCCTCCGTCAGCAGCTCTGGACAATGTGCCACGAAACTGCGCATGGCTGCGAGGAACAAGCAACATGAGCTTTTCACAATGCATTCTGAATAATACAGCAGAGCGCGAGACGGAGGGATGAATTCAGGTGTCTTACCGCACAAGGCGCCGGCGCGACCCTCCAGCATCACCTGCCAGCTGAAGGAGTCTCCTCTGGCCTTCTCGGCCTCCAGCTCCTTCTGAGAGCGAGGAAACACGTTACGCCACAGCAGCAGCATCTTTGGCAGGTGGTAGCGCACTAAAGACGGTCCTGAGAGGACGAAACATCAGAGGGGCTCGTTTCACTGCCGTGTTTCTGGCCTGAGTCTGTGAGAGGTCACGTGCTTGATGCACTCACCTAAGGTCATGAGGGCTCCTAGCAGCAGCCAGCCCGCTTGAGTGCGCTGGAGAGACAGCCGGCTGTTCTGGGCTGCAGAGCGCAGCAGATCTTCAGCTATACTCACCACCATCTGAAAGACATCCAAGCTGTGATACACTACTGGATTCTGACACAGGTGTTGCTCTTCAGGAATCTGCAATAGTGGCTTGAATTTCTGCAGTGCATTTTCAGCTTTTTTGTGACACTTACGATAAAACCAGTTTCTACTACTGCACCTTTAAAGGAAAGTTCCATGCCGTCTTGTCATTATTTTGACTTGTCCATCATTGTAAATATGAATGCAAGTCACACTAACAGTAATGCATTTGCTATAGCGGTATAGGATGATTCCTTTCAGACTTCTGTGTGTAAAAGACCTTTGTTATTATTATAAACCTCTTCATATTTGAGAGATGTGGTTTAAACTTGCGTTCATCTGGGCTGGCCTAATTTGCTGGATACTTAATAGTTAAGAAAGCTCATTTTTATGAAACTGAATTTTGGAATTGTGTGATTTGTAGGGCTGCATGATATAAAAAAAAACTGACATTGAGACTTGAGTAGCTATATTTGGAAAGAATGAATCATTATTTTTTTGTTGCATAGCACATAAGTAAAGAAAGGACATTTTTACCTTTAGGGGCTGAACAATTGAGCAAACACTTGAAAAATATGAGTTTCCCAAACTTGGCTATACTCACCACAAGAACCAACTCAAATCTCTTTCAGTATCCATAAAGTGAGTAAAAAAAACAAAAACAAACAAAAAACTTTATTATCATTAAATAAAAATATTCTAACAATACTATAATACTTTAAAATAAAGAAGAGTATTTAATTAAAATGACAATACTAGTATCTACATCTTAATTTCTTCATTTTCAAATGTTAAACCATCAAGCTTTTTTTGCTTGTTTACCAGCAAACACATGCGCTGCAGGTTTAAAGTGAAGCGCGGCACTGTGTTCATTTACACACACAAGCAGCTCACAATACAGTATTTCTGAGATGTAAAAAAAAAAAGAGGTATCACTAGCTGCATGTGTGTCGATGAACACAGGGCTGTGCTTTACTCTGACACGCAGCACATGTTTAATCAAATCACAACCTTTGTAATTTGATCATCACAAGCCATAATGCGATACTGATTCGGTGTCTAGTGCAGCCCTTGTTATAGTCTAGATGGCATGTTTTTACTGCATACTGCATGAGTCAGTCAGACCTTGCCCTTGGAGTGTGGGATGCCCAGAGGACACTGATGCACTCCTCCCAGTAGAGCCGCCATGGCGAAGCTGTAGCCGCTCACAGCCTCGGGTGAGTTCTTCAGGTTGTTGATGCACTCGGCGCAGCGCTCCAGGAGAGGCGTGAGCTGGTGTGGCAGAGCTACAGCGACGCAGCGCAGACACCAGGCCGCAGCCAGACGCGCAGCCATGCTCGGGTGCAGCAGCACGGATGTGACTGTCTCTAAAAAACCTGCCAACGCAAGCACAAGACGTCCAGATAGTGAGAACTGGCCTGGTGGACTGTGCACAGGGCCAAAGGTGCAGGCATGAATGAGTTAAAGTGATAACTCAATTTTGTCAATTCTGTCACTATTCATCCACCCACATACTGGTACAAATCCGTAAGACTTCGGTTCATCTTTGAAACACACATGATATCTTTAATGAAGAGAGATTTGGATTAAACTTCTTGAACACACATATTGATTTTCGAAGTCTCAAATGTTTGGTGGAACTGATTTCAGTGGAGGGAAGGCAATCTCTCAGGTTCCAAGTGCTTATATATATATATATATATGGTTGTGTGTGTTTTCTGTATAATTTTCATGGTTATATGTGGACATACATGTCTGGTTTGAGAGTCACGCAGTCCTTTGTTGGTGTTCACAGTTCAGTTGTGGGTGATAGTTCACTTGAGCATTGATGGTAATGATTTTTAAACATACAAAGACTTTCGATGTTGAATTCTGTTTAGCTTGGGCAAGGCTGGCACCCCAGTTTTTGTACCAAAATGCAACACAGCATGGTTATGTGCAATTTCCTACCGACAGATGGCTCCTGGATCAGAGGGGAAGCTGTAGCGCTCAGACTCTGGACCAAACTGCCCAGCTCTTTCAGAGCACACACCATCACATGCTGACTGGCCGACACGTCTGCGGCCCCGGCCCGGTTCTCACTGCTGGGGTCATTCACTACAGCCTCTGTGTGTGTGTGTGTGTGTGAGAGAGAGAGAGAGAGAGAGAGAGAGACGACACACGGTCAACATTTTTTTAAGTTATAAGGTCAGGTTTGAACAAATCAAATGAGAAACTAAGGAAACATTTTTATTTGAGTTGTTTTTATTATTTAAAGAAAGTATCAATCTTTAAATGTGTTTTGTTCCAATGATTCCCACATGGTTCAAAATAGTCCATTGACACGCGTCATCTGATTGTAAAAGACAGATGGTTCATTTGAATGGGTTGTTTCACCTTATAGGTCTGTTGTGATGCATTCATAATAAATTCATGCTGCTGTTTATGCTTCATTTGTTGTTTGCTCATCTGGATTTAATTTCATAAATGTACACATGTACGTTTAGTTTAATTGGGTTAGGGTGCCATGGAAAAAACAAACACACTACAAAGGGGTGCCACTGCTTTCAAAAAGTTTGGGAACCACTGATCTAGATCTTAATCGGACAACGACACCGCAGTTCACAGCTGTGATTTCAGAGGCAGGGAAGAGTGTCGACTGTGTGATCTCCATCTTACCCACGGCTCTCATCTGTTTGCTGATGGCCAGGCAGATTTCCTTCGCAGCAGCTATTTGAGCTTTTTCGCCGAGCAGACCGCCCAGCGACGCCCGCAAGGCGAAGGACACGCAGCGGCGTGAATACACAGCCTCCACGTGAGTCTGCGTGGCCCGCGGATGAGCCACCAGCTCCAGCAGGTGCGATAGAAACACTGCGAAGTTACGCTCCAGCCACTGCCCGCCCAGAGTGGTGACGAACATAACATACGCCTGTGTGGAGAGACACGGACGAGCCAATCATACAGTCAACATAACCTCGACTGAAACACCTTTTGTAATAACAAAACTCTGTTAGCTAACCTAGCACAGTTTGTGTGTTTTCAAACTGAATTTGAATGGCTTTACATGCGTTTCAGAGATCAGAGTGATTGTTTTCCGTCTCACCTGCGTGACTCCGACTCGCACCTCTCGGCTGACTGACGCTCCTTTCAGCATCTCTCCTCCGCTCTTCAGGAAGCCAGAGCCTCCTCGCAGGAAGCCTGTGGCCATCAGCTCCAGAACTTCCTCTAGAGTCGCCCGCTTCACGTTCTGACGCATGACTGACACACAGCAAACAGAGAACCGCTCACACACCTCACCTCACCTCACAGTCACAAATGAGCGCCGCATACAGACACAAAACTGGCATTTCTGTGTAGATTGCTAGAAAACACTATTAATCTTTGTCTCCAGCTAACACATTTACAGTAATTACAGTTGATTGGGAGAATCTGGCTGTGTGCTGAATGGTGCACTAGAAGTATACATGCCAACTTTTTTTAAAAACAGTTTGTAAGAAATATGCAATGTGCATCAATAAACATTTCGATAAAGTATGCAACACTGAGAGTTTTGCATGTTTAGTTTAGCAAGTGGCATCCAGATATCTCATAAATAAAAATGTAATCATTTTTAATCCAGCTTTTTGCACAAATGTATTTGCTTCCATCCACTGGATCAAATAATGAGATAGCGTGTTAAATTATGGGATACAGTTATGCGCCGCATGCTCTGGTTGTAAACTGTACAGCATGAAGTAATGCTCCACTTAACACCTTGCATACAGAAATAACCATAGTGTGCAATGCAGACTGCAAGAACAGTATGATTGTGTTATTTCCTGCATATGCCATGGTGGATGAATATACAACATTTACACTACACATAAATCTGCGAACTGACCTGTGGCCTGTTTGGGCATGAGCGCTGTGGCCATGGCGGTTCCCAGCAGTGTGGATACAGACACACGCACACTGTACGTAGAGCCTTCAAGAGCTTTAAAGCACAGCGTGGCCACATTCTCCAGCTCTGTGGTCCAGATGAACACGGCCTCATTCTGCAGCTCTAACAAACACTGGCCAATCACAGGAACAATCACATCATCATCACATGACCATTCATCAGCCCAGTTCACAATGAGCTCCACTCACAAGATCTGTGCATGTAGTGCATACACTGCCATTCAAACGTTTAGAGTCGACGAGATTTTTACTTAATGTTTTTTTAGAAGTCTCTTATGCTCAAGGCTGCATTTATTTGATCAAAAATACAGTAAATTTGTGAAATATTATTTCATTTTAAAATAGCTTTTTCTATGTGAATATCTGTTAAAATGTAATTTATTGCTGTGATCAAAACTGAATTTTCAGCATCATTACTCCAGTCTTCAGTGTCACATGATCTTCAGAAATCATTCTAATATGCTGCTTTGCTGCTCAAGAAACATTTCTGATTATCATCAATGTTGAAAACAGTTGCGCTGCCCAATATTTTAGTGGAAACTGTGATGCATTTTACTTTTCAGGATTCACAGATGAACAGAAAGTTCAAAAGAGCAGCATTTATTTGAAACAGAAACCTTTTGTAACATTACAAATGTCTTTACTGTCACTTTTGAACAATTTAATACATCCTTGCTAAAAAAAATATTAATTTATTTCGCAAATGAAAAAAACAAAAACAAATCTGCAAACTTTTCAATGATAGTGTATTTTCAGTTATTATTAATCAATATTATTTGAAGGTAATCAGCAAAAAGCCACTTGAAGGTGTGTACTACAGTGATCTTTACCACACTTCACTGAATCTCTTATGCCGAGTCCTACCACCCTTCACCATTGTATAATGCTCAGTGTCTTGTGGCTTATTTCTTTTAGAAAATAAACATTACAGCAATGTTCAACAAACAGACCTAATTAGGCTACATTTATTAACAAATAATAGGAAACTCAAATAAAAAATTGTGTCGAGCGTGTATCTATTTTCACTAGCTGTGCCGTTCAGACTAAATGCAGCAAGACTCTCCTCAGTGCTCACCTTTGCGACGGCGCAGCGGACTGCCATGGATCGGTCCGTCAGCATTGAGCGGGCGTTCTTGTAGATGTCTCTGTGACAGGAGGCCGCCGCACCGCCCAGGCCACTGAGGACTTTCTGCAGACTGAGCAGGATCTCGCCTCGACCCTGAGACTGAGACAAACACACGACAGCTTGAGAAATCAGCGCCACTAAATCTGTGCGTAGAAGGAGAACTGCTGTACCTCTGCGCTCTTCAGAGCTTTCAGGAGGTTATTGATGGTTTCAGGGAAAGAGCTGCCCAGCATTCGGCCCATCCGTTCATAAAACGCCCCGACACACGCCACTGCAGCGCTGCCAACACACAAAACACACACATCTGATGCTCCAGAACACACAAATGCACTTCAACTCTGCTACTCCTCTGCCACTTTGACCAAAACATTTACCTTTTATTGGAACAGTACAAAATGTTGGGACTTTGTGGTACTGATTACAATATGTAAAACACTGATTCAACATGTTCAACTATGATAAAACTATTGGCCAGATAAAATAAGCGCCAAACAACACCAGCAGACGCCGACAGAGGAAACACACTGATCAGACCAAACCAGATGAACGTGTCTGATGCTGTTTGTTGGCGTCTATCGGTGTGGTGTAAACCGACCTTAAAACAGCCAGTGTGCAAAATAGATGCACATACCAACTCTTATGAACTGGTGCGCTTGTTTAACTTATGCAAATTTGTGAAATAAGTAGCCATAATGCACAAAAGATGAAAGGAAATGAAAGGGTTAAACTCAATGAAAGGGTTAAATTCAAAACCATCAAGAAAGCAAAAGCAATTATGACAGAGGATAGAAAAAACTCCTTTGAGCAACTAGACACACAGCCCTGTCTATACATATACAATATATAGAGCTATACAGTCATCTAGTGGTTACACTATGGCATTACACATGAATATTATTTTCCGGCCAATAGACGGCTCTAATTTCTCTTAAACCTTAAAGGGATCTTAAAGTGCCTCCTGTAGCGAATAGGTGCATTTTTGTAAGAAAAATATCCATATTTAAAACATAATAATCACTTGAATCTAGCTTGTGCTCACAGTTGTAAACAGAAGCAGTTCCGGGCAGATGACGTATGAGGTCAGCGGAGAGATCAAAACAAAGCAACGGTCACTAATTAGAAGTACAAAACGAGGATTTGGATATAAGCCAAGAGGAGACTGGTTTTCCTTTGCTAAAGTAAGGAACCTTTGCTTCCTTTGCTCCTGTTAACAAACGTTGGTTTTCACGAGACTCACCGGCGCATGCACAACGCTGACATCTTACTTCATCCTCCCGGAGCTGCTTCTGTGTACAACTGTTGGCGCAAGCTAGATTAAAGTGATTATTACGTTTTGAATATGGATATTTTTCTTACAAAAACACATGGATTCGCTACAGGAGGCCTTTGTTCACCCCCCGGAGCCGTGTGAGGCATTTTTATTATGGATGGGCGCTTTTTATTTCACTTCTTTTGGACTAAAGCATGCAACACCCACTGAGTGGCATTAAACAGCTTGAAAGATCAAAGACAATTTTTAATATAACTCCGACTGGATTCGTCTGAAAGAAGAAAGTCATATACACCTGGAATGACTTGAGGGTGAGTAATTTGTGGGCTAATTTTCATTTTTTGGTGAACTAACACTTTAAATGGCATTTCAATACATTGTACACTCCATTAACTGTAAAACTGAGGACACATGCATGCGCGCACACACTCACAGTTTAGTGGGCAGATACGCGGCGGTGTCGTCTTTGCTCCTGATGATGTCGTTGCACTTGTCGAGTGTCTGGAAGACGGTGAAGGTGTCTCCGATGCTGTAGAGCACAGCCAGGTTCTTGGCCAGCAGTTTCCTGGTGGGCGGCCCGGGAGAGCTGCTGATCAAACCCGTCAGCTGCTCCACCAGCTTCTTCTGCTTCTCCTTCACATCCACCTGCAGACGAGCACACGTCTCAGAGCCGGCGCCTCACAGGGAGCACATACAGCCACAACATACGCGAAGCATGCTATATGTGCTCCTGTGAGGCGTCGCACTTTACATAACGCACACTTCTGACAGCATTATAGCAAACTTACATTACACAGTTACATTAGCAACCTCATACATTTTATACACAATAGCACACATTACTTTTACTCCGCCAATGAAAACACTTCCAAAAGCAAAACTGACCCGTTTTTGAACAAATCAGTTCACTGTAGCCTGCAGAAAGAGTCACTGAAAATCTCCATCACTCACACTCACAGACACACGCACAGGCACACGCACACACTCACAGGCACACACTCACAGGCACACACACACAGGCACAGGCACACACTCACAGGCACACACGCACATGCACACACTCACAGACACACGTATAGACACACGTATAGACACACGTATAGACACACGCACACATTCACAGACACACGCACACATTCACACACTCACAGACACACACGCTCACAGACACGCGCTCACTGACACGTGCACGCACACACTCACGCGCACACTCACGCGCACACTCAGACACACGCTCACACTCACGCGCACAGACACACTCACAGACACACGCACACACGCACTCACAGACACACGCACTCACTCACACGCACACACTCACGCACAGGCACACGCACACTCACAGACACACGGACACACACACAGACACACGGACACACTCACAGGCACACGCACACACTCACAGGCACACGCAGACACACGCACACACTCACAGACACACGCACACACTCACAGTCACACGCACAGACACATGCACACATTCACACACTCACATACACACGCACAGACACACGCACACACACTCACAGACACACGCACGCACACACTCACAGACACATTCACACACGCACAGACACACGCACGCACACACTCACAGACACACGCACACACTCACAGACACACGCTCACAGTCACGCGCTCACACGCACGCACACACTCACAGACACACGCTCACAGACACGCGCTCACAGACACGCGCACACGCTCACAGACACTCGCACACGCTCACAGACACGCGCTCACGCTCACAGACACTCGCACACGCGCACACACATTCACAGACACGCGCACACACATTCACAGACACGCGCACACACATTCACAGACACGCGCACACACA